CGTCGCCGAATCGTTCCCACCTCAATCGCTTCACAATCGCCTTCGTCGTTTCCAATCGGCTTCGCTGTCAGGTATGAACTGTTTGAGTTTTGATTGAAATATGTAAATACAAAATTGTTGTCGAAATCTAGAATGTATAATGTATAACAAATCTGAAACAAAAAATTGTTTTGAACTTCTGTTTCTGCATTAACAACTCTGGATCTAATATGTTTGTACACACATACTACATTGATACCTTATTGCAATTCCTCTTTAGTTTCCCCTTCCAATTAGAAGACTTTCAGGGACCTCCCTTTTTCTATGTTTATGCTTTTTAGATACTAAAATGATACCTTATTGCAATTCCTCTTTAGTTTCCACACATGTATGTTTGTTTTCCCTCTACTGGTTCAACCATTATTACAATAGTCGAGAAAAAGCCTACTTTATGATAGTATTACATTTATCAACCATTATTTCCCATTTTGGTGCATATATATATATCCTTCTTTCTGTTCAGGAGAGACTGTGATAGACATGAATTGGCAAAACAACCTTCGACTTATACAATATTACAACTAAGTATAACTTTGAATACCTTCCACCAGAATTCTACAGCTTGATCGTAACTAGGTATAACTCTTGAATCATGATCAAAATTCTGAAGAGCCTTAAGTCTGACTTTGAAAACTTTAAGCTTTAAGTCTAACTCTGAAAACATTAATCCGTAACTCTGAATGCACAAGGTTGAAATCTGGATAAGCGTGGTTTGATATCTAAACTCTTCTAACTAACTTTGGACAAATTCTGAAACCAAGTATGGACTAACATAACTTTGGAACATCACTAAACATGACAACAAACATATTCAAATATGTATCCACATGAACCATAATTCTCTAACTCGAAAAAAACAACATATTAACTGAAGTCTGGCAACATAAGACTACTGTCCATAATTAAAATCTTGAGTTGCTGTCGAGTGAAACCAAACTCTGTTTGTACTCGAAATCAAATTTGGATGAATGTCTCCAGATTTTTAGATTAGGGGCTGTTTGGCAGTTGCTGAATGATTTAGTGCA